TATATATATATATATAAATATTGCAAAGTAATCGAAGTTCGATCGAGATCATCCTTAAAATTAGAATCGATGAAGAAAAAAATGAAGCGAAGCTTCTCGTCCGCACCTCTTCCGCTTGCAACGGCACATTGCTTCCCGTTCGGCTTATCCATTGTCCGATCAGGCTATTGATGAATTTGCCACTGCCTTGCGTGCTCGTGCGAGCTTTCTCTGCAAATTTCACGCGGGGATTATGGCACGAAGATTAACTGCATAAAAAAAAAGTACAAATTTACCTTCTTGCATAATTCTTTTTTCTTCCAATCTTGAATTATAACATGATTCAATGTTGGGCTCCATTTTGTTTCACTAAATAAGGGTACTGTTGCAAAAAAAGGAAGAAATCAAACGAGGCAACTTCAAGGCTGATCTCTTATTCTTATTGGTATCTTTCTTCTTTTTTATTAGAACGTGTAATTGTTGAAATATAGTGTAGAGTACCATATATCACTAAAATCAGCAGGTCTTATGATTGTATCGTACAAAATAGACGCGTGTAAATTATTAAATTATTCTGGGAATATGAAAACGACGATTCTATAATTAGTGACATTTTGTTTCGCGCCGACATATTGCAACAACAGTTGGAATCGCTTTTTCACGCATGCGCATTCATACTGATATTGAATTTATAAAAATCTTGTAAATACGCTACTTCGACGTTCCTATAAAAATTACATAAAAATTTGTATAAAATTAATAAAAAGAATTGATGATAGAATAGATTATCTATTGCATAAATTATATTGATTTATTTTATTATTTCATTATTTCTGATTTAATCTTCCTGCTATGAGTCAAAACGAATGGTTTCATTTTTTTACGTATTGTTGATTCGTTGTGATATAACTCAAAAATTTTTATTTTTTAATTTATTTATAAAAAAAGAGGAATGAATCTTTGGAGTTTTTGTCACTGGTGGAGCGATGTAACTCAATTTAAAAAATTTTTAATTAAAAAGAAAATTTTGTATCAAAAGTATCATAAGTAAAAAAGAATTGTTACTTAAGAGTTTATTTTTACATTATAAATGGAAATTCAATACACTGAATGAAAAGTTGATACTTTTAATCATATTTAAAAATAAGTAAAAAAATTTAATGATTCAAAACATCTAAATTCATTTTCTAGGAAACTTTGTCTTTTTAGTTATGCCATGTATTAAATGAGCAATATTTACATTACTTTTTATAAATTTTCTATCGAATTTCTTTCTGGACCGGAAAACAGATGTATCATTTTATGTTTCTCGTCGAATGTTAAAAAGGATAAAATACTCGAATATATACTCGGGTGTTATTTTTGACGTATCCCTCTAATTCGCAATCTACTGCACGTTCTCTACTGGTTCGTCAGATAAGCACTTCGTGTCAAACGTGTTCACGATGCTCGCGACGATCTTTTAGGTTATATTTATTTGTACGGTGGAGTTTAAAGCGATTGCACTTCGGTGCAATTATTTCCAAGGTCATTAACGATCGAACTTGTACTTGTTTAGAAATGCGGAAAGGAAAATAACAGAATGGAAATAGGAAAATTGTGATTTTCGTAAATTTTATTGTGATTCATAAAATTTTATGCTCTTGCGTCTTCTGTGAAATCTCGAGAATCTCACATTTTTTTCCTGCGATATTATGATCACAGGAGTCGTTGCAGTCTGCTAGCAGTTTGAAATCGAATTCGTTCTAAAAAAGGATTAATGATGTCGGGGGTATTCGAGCAAATTAAATTGCTGTACGATCAGGCATTGTACAGCAATATGATCTCTTTGACGAATTTGGTGCTCTCTCTCAGCGAGCACCAGACCGACCTGCTCCCTGGCTACAGCAAGTTTCACGTATACATCTATTATGCAGATGCTCACTTTCACTTAGGCAAGTATCGCAGGGCGGAGACCCTCTACAAGAAGGCTCTGCAGTTTCGCAAGTGCCTATTAAAGTCCAAGGGTACAGGAAAGCCCTTGCTGGATGGGCAGAAGGATCTGCCATCAGATGTCAACATCAAGTATCAGATTCACTTATGTCTGGTGAAGTCTAAGAATTCACAGGAAGCGCTGCAAGTATTGCAAAGCATTCCTGGCAAACAGCGCACTGCCAAGGTGAACATGGCGCTGGCTAAAATGTTTCACGAGCGGGGAATGGAACGATCGGCTATCACCACGTACAAGGAAGTCTTGAAAGAATGCCCGTTGGCATTAGAGGCAGCCGAAGGACTCCTGTCTTTAGGAGTGAAGGGCGTGGAAGTCAACTCTTTGATCGTCAGTTCCATCTCGAGTTCGATGAACTTGGAGTGGCTCAATACATGGATCAAGGCCCACGCTCATATTCATAATAGAGAATATACTCATGCTGTGACCACGCTCAGATCATTGGACAATGTCGTTTTGCTCAGAGATAATTTCAATCTATTGACCATTATGGGAGAGTGTTACTATTACGCTGGCGATGACAAGAATGCTTTGCTATGCCTGAGGCGAGCTCGAGTGATCGAACCAGATATAACGAAAGGGTAAGTACATCGATGTCATCCTCTTTACAAATTCATCAAAATTCATCAAAGCGTATATATATCTCGTCTATATATACATATATAAATATAGATGTACCTATTATCTATTATTTTTCTACAGGGTGGACATATATGCTGCAGTTTTATACAAGACGCATCACATCAAAGAATTGGAGCGGCTCATACCAGCGATAACCGCCAACAACGAATGTACTGGTGAAATTTATGTAGCCATGGCATATTCTCTGTACGCCGCTAGAAAATTCAGCAGGGCGAATACTCTCACTGCTCAAGCGTTGACTCTGAATCCTAACGACATAGAAGCCACTATACTACGCGGCAATATCCTTATTGAGCAAAAAAAATATCAAGACGCGTTGTTTTTCTTTAGACATGCCGTACAATTGAAACCATACAGATACGAACCTCATAAAGGCTTGGTAGATTGTCTCGTCGGGATGCACAGATTGCGAGAGGCTCTGAATATCGCTAGTGGCTCTTGCAAACAGCTTGGACACACCGCAAGAGTTCTAACAGTGAGTTAAAATTTGAAAGAAAATGTATCTGAAATATATAACATAGTAACGATATATTTCTGTGTTTACAGTTGTATGCGTCCGTTTTGATGAAAGATCCCGTGTCAGTGGGTAAAGCAAAGAACCTTCTTGAAAAAGCACTGTCTCAAGATGAAGTCTATTTATCTGCAGTGTATTTACTGGCGGAAATATACGAACAAGAAATGAATTTAGTAGCAGCCATTGAACTGCTCGAGAGACAGGTGGAGATTCATTCTACCTGCAAGCTTCATCAGAATTTGGGAGATTTATGGGCAAGAATGCACAATGAGGAGAAAGCTTTAGATCATTATGCTATAGCTTTAAAGTACGTATCCAATTTTTACAATAAATTGAACTATATTGCGAATCCACAAAACTTATGATTTATCGTTTGTTTTCAGTTTGGATCCAAATAACAGGAGAGCTTTAGAGGGAATGCATAGACTGGACAACTCTTCCAGCAAATTGGATTCCGCTTATTATATGACCGTTGGCGAAGAACAGGCTGATACAACCTATGATGTCGGTGACGGTCTACCGGATACAGATAATGATGAAGCACCTGAGGAGAGTGAGACTGAAGCCATTTGGTCGGATATGGACTTGGAAGCCAACAGCCAGTAGTCATTTTTGTAGAAACTAATCAGTGGAAATCAATCGGTCTTTCAACTTCTAGGTCGATTATAATAACTTCTTGAAGAAGAATCTTGGGAGAATAATTCGATAATACGAATAAAATGAGACTGAGACTTTTCGTGATTAGTATTATTTGAGAGTAATACATCGTAGCGAATTTATTTCTCTTTATAATAATTCAATGATTGTACCGTCATGGAGCTCTGTTATCTACTTTTAAAAATATGAGGTAAATGTTAAATTTTTATTAATTTTCTTATTACCAAAATATAATAACAAGAAACTTTCATCGTCAAACTTAAGTACAGAAGGATAAAAACACAAACCAACATGTATCTGTCGTTTACTATATCAGTACGCGGCGGTCATAACTTAGATCTAGAAAACCAGATTGTAAACTATTCGATAATAAAATATATATATATAGATTATATAGGAAGTTATAATTTCTAGATCGATGTAAAATAATATCACATCATTTGCATAGTAAAGCTTATCACTGGCTCATGGATTCGCCAACATGCCTTTCCATATCTTTTACACCTGATATGTCGGTATTGTCAAGGATCCAAGCATAAAGTCTCAATTATTGGAAATATACTCGTATCTATGTAACAATACTACATTCGTCAACAATATTCGTATATATATGTTATACATAAAATTATTATTGCTTTAAATGCTTTAGAGTGCTGATTGTAATGAAATTATATATATATATATATATGTGTGTGTGTGTGTGTGGTGTGTGTGTGTGTGTGTGTGTATACATACATTTGACAAATACACGCATTATCGTAACAATATTGGGATTTGAGCGACAAAGAGAACGTCGCGCGACATATAAAAGAATAATAACAATTATTCACAAAATTCCTCTCGCATTTCTGATAAATATATCGCGAGGAAGATATTCAATATTCGATGCAACAATTAAATTTGCAATATGTGCAAGGTAACAATCGTAATTTAAATCTATACGAATTCCTATGCGCGCTGATTGCTTGCGAAATTGTTTATCGTGTTTTCTTACTTGACAACGCATCTACAAGAATGTAGAATTTATCGATTAAAGCTGAGAAACACACCTCGAAATTAAATTTATGCGCGTGTGACATCTGTAAAATAGTCTCTCGTATTGAATTTTCATTTCGAGTGGAAGATGTGATTAATTTAATTAATGATCAGCGTCACGCGAATTTATCGTCCAGCTGCTTAACTCGTTAATCAACGAAATTCGTTTCATTAATTGCGAGATTACTTTTGCAGGAACTTTTTCATTTGCTTCGTCTGATGCTGCATGCTATATTGAGCGTTCTCGGCTTTCGTGATGAGGACGTCCAGCTTATTCAGATGGGATTCCATTTTCTGATTGAGATCGATCTTCCTCGGTTGGAGGCAGCCGCTATTCGCGGACTGATCCGCGGCATCCGCGACGATGTTATCCGACGTCTCCACCGTCATCACCTCATCGACTGTAGTTTCCGACTTTCCATGGCCTTCCTGCTTCTCCGCATCGGGATTCGGCTCCTCGCCGGACTTGTGACGCGGCGTTCCACCGCGGGAGCCCACCTTCACCTTGAGCAACGTTCCCAGACTGCCGCAAACTGTCTGCGGAATTTTTATTTCATGGAGAAGTTTGTCTTGCGAAACGGAGAAAACGCGTGCACGACGTGTTTTATCCGTTTAACTTATTAGGAATTTACGAAAATCGTCGCGATTCTTATGCGAACGATTCGTTTAGCTGGGACTGCGGTGGAGAAACGGCGGCGCAGCGAGGAGGAAAGCGTTATCAATTTGCGAGCGGGTAAGGACATAAAGCGGCCCGTCGTATCGGTCGTAAAAATTCCGCGCTATCGTTATGACAAAATAATAATTAATTCGAGCAACATGCGAAATGAGCGCGCGCTGGCCCGCTCGGCAATTAATTATCCCAAGTCACCTTGAATCTGTTGAGCTTCTTCTGCGTGGTGCTCAGAATGCTGTTCAGCTCATCCAGGCCGCCGCCGATACGTCCGGTCGCCTCGTCCGAGTAATCCAAATCCTGAGATAAGAGCATTGTCGTGAGGAAATCGTGCCGTGGATACGCGCGGACGAGCGTCGGCGCTAATGAACCCTCGCGGCGATGAGCCTCCGCATCGTCAGCGATTTATTTACGCCGATCTGGCTCGTCGCACGTGGCCGCGCAACCCGAATCTGCTGCGTAATGTCTATAGCGAACGCGATATCGCCGTAGGTGCGTTAGCCGTTCGAAAACACGTGAAGAACACGGAGAACGGATGAAGAAGATGGGGAAAAAAAAAAAGATATAGAAAAAGTACTTCGTAACTCGAAGTAGAAAACCGCAAGGTACAAGAGGCTCGGGCTATCTTTTTTCGATATTTTACAAGTGATAAGGAAAGATATTTAATTTCACATCGACTGGTGATCGATGAGACGCATCGCGGGTAGCTCATTCCAGCCAGCGGGCGTGCCCGGTGGAATGAGCACTCGGGTTGCTATTTCAATATTCGTCTATTCTATAACTTTGAAGCTTCTCTAGCGTGAGCGGGGTGATTACCTGTAACGCGTCGTCAACGTTGTCGTCGCAACGACGATTCTCGTCGTGCGCCGCTTGCGATTGCCTCCACTCCTCCTCGCTGGGCCTCGGCAAGCCCAGCAATTCTGCCCTCTCGCAGGCGTGCTGATAGTCCTCGGACATCGCACCGGGGGAGGGTCCCAGTTTTATATGACGATGGGTCGCTTACCCGAAAACGTCGGGTGTTGCGACGGGCGATCGTCCACGAGCACTCCCGGACACTGAAATTCCGTGGAAATCGCTGCGCCCTTGGCGAGAGGCATGCATCACTCGAAGAATCCATATTGTCGTGGGAACTGCGCAAGCTCGACCGAAAGGTGGGCAGAATTACGGATGAAGCTTCGCGAAGTCGCGACACCCCACCCCCTTGGAAACGGTCGCGCTTCGATCGAGGGGGCTGATCTCGATCAAATATTAATTTTCTGGAGGCTGGGTCGCAGGTTGAGGTGAAATCGATCCACCTTGAGGGATGGAAAAACCATTCTCGAAAAGTGGAACGTCGAATAAAATAGCCCGCGTAGATAAGGGTGCTTTCGAGAAAAAAAAACCCAAATCTTGAGAAACCCTTTTTATCCGAAGTAGCGATGAGCTGGACGTGTTGGACGATTAGGAAAACGATCTCCGAGCGATCGGGGGTTACTCGTAGGAAAAAAAAAAAAAAAAAAAAAAAGAAAAGAAAGAACGGAACGAGCTGTTAGATCGCGAGATAAGCGAAACTCAAGTTCTCAGGGAGGGCGGCGTATCGTATCGTCGCGCTCATAATTAATTTCAATCTCGTCTCTCGTGCACCCGGACCACACAGCACACCGCCGTTTTCACCCACGTGTACGTCGTAAAGACTTGCACGAGCACGTTATATAAGCTACGCGACGGCTTGATCGGTTTGCATTGTTGTCGGAGTGAAGTCTGCGTCGTCTCGCGAGTGAGTTATGGTACCGGCAATGTCATCACGGATCGCGATATGGATGAGCGGATGCATTTTGATCCTGCTACTCGTGTCATCCGCGCAGGTGAGAGATCCGAGGTGTCCCGACCTTGTCGCGAAAGATAAAGAGGGTGGAGACAGGGGGGATAGACAAAAATTTTTATGTTTATCTCTCGATAAACATTTTAAAAAAGGATTAAAATTTCTTTAAAATTCTGATATAAATTTGAATTTAAATAAAGTATATAAAATATTTAAAATGAAATTTTATTTATATATTAAATGCATGTTTATGTATATTTTTTTTTAAATTAAGAAGAAAGCATAATCCTTTTTTCTTTTTTTAATTAAAAACGAGTAATTAAAAGCTCGAGGAATATTAACTCACGCAACCGCCGCTGCGTTTTGAATATTTAGAACGGTGTTTTATCTCGAGTATTATGAATGTTTATAGTTCGTAATAAAATCGTGATGAGGGAGAAAGACATCATAGGCAATCGCCTTCTTGAAAGATTTATTGGGTTATCCTTTGTCAAATTAGAGACGTCAACTATCCGCGATAATCAGTGATTCCGATGTGAGTAACAGTATTACATCCGTATCGTCGTCCCAATATCACTGTGTTATCGAATGAGTTAACAATGAGAACGATGCCCGATATAGGTCGTTAAATTCTCCGCGACCCTCACAATAATAGAGCGAGGAAAATAAGAGAAATAATAGAATGGAGAAAATAAAAGAAAACAAAATCACACCTAGTGAGCGCTTAGCACTTAGAGAATTAATCGATCTTCCATGACGGTACAATTTTTCATATAATCAATCAAATTTCACGCGCCTCTCGCGTCTTATTTGACTTTTCGCAATCCTCCCAAATTCTCTTTCATAAAGAAAACGCTTTTATTTTCATCGATGACACGTGTAATTTTATTTCTTTGAAAAATGAAGTAAGGTAAAGTAGATTTTAATTTACAATTTATTTACAAAAGAAATCTGAATAAAGAAAAGAGGCTGCCTATCGATCTCTCTCAGCTGTTTGTCAGGACAGTTGTTAATTTCCTCAACAATTTCTCTAGGCGATCGACTACGAAGTCCACAGACGCGACGCGATATCGATAAATCGGAACGGCAATGTCATCCTGACGAGCCGTGACTTCCTCGAAGAGTTAAACTATATGGTACCGAAAACGAGCTACACGTTACAAGAAGGCACAGAGCACTTGTTGCATTTCGGTGCGCTTCTGCGAACGCGAATCCTCGATGCCTTCGGCAGCCTCCTGTACGTCTATTACGATGACTTCAGCGTAGCGGAAGTGGAGGCGTTGCGCAAGGTATACCGAGAGATCCTCGAGCGGCGATACGACGTGTTCAGTTTGGTCCCCAACGTTCTGAGGAACCCGGACACGAGACCGTCCAGAATCTGCGCCGAGATCTACAGACGTGCCATGGAACCCTGTCTGAGGAGCAGCGCGAGCGTGTGCCGCGGGATGATCAGGAGGCAGCATGATCTTCCACATTCCGACGACACGCTCGCGTTGAACATCACGCATCAGGTGTACCGTTCGTTCAAGACGTCGGGGCAATATCCTAGAGGTTTTTCTCTGGCGATGCTATTGAGATATCTGCAACGGGAAGAGCTGACAGTCACGCCTGATCTGCTGTCGGGACTCCTTTTCAACGTGAGATACGAGAGCTACGACGACGACGTTCGCCTCGCCGAGAGGGAGCTCATACGACATTTTCGCGAAAACACGCGGACCAGCGAAATTTCAGTGCTGTTGCCGACGAGGGACCTCAGACAGTTTCACACCGTTAATTTCTTTCTCAAGTATTTTGTCGACATGTATGTCGAGAAACTTCCGGACAACGAGGATCTGAAGAGGTACGCGTTCCTAATGGCGAAACGCATCGCCGACGACATCGGCATGATCGACGAGAACATCCATTTGCTCGGTAACGTCTATGAGAATCAGACGATTCACGTCGAGTATCTCTTCGACCTTGTGCTACCCGACGACCTTTTGGAGAATGATGTTATCGAGGCTAAGAAATACTTAGTGACGAAATTGTACGAGTTCAATGTAGTGGAGAGATATCTCAAAGTGCAAAAGTTTCAGCAGGCCACTCCCGCTCAATTGACGATGGAAATCACCAGACAGCTGACGGACATCGATTTCGCCAAAAATATCGCGACGTCTCTGCGGATGTACGCGAGGTTTTGGCGCAGTAGTCGCATGATCGAGAATCTCGACGAGCTGCTGGAGCTGTTCGACGCTTATGAGAATCTGCGACAAGTGCCGCGCTACGTGCGCATGATGCGGATGATCGATAGGATCAAAGAGAGTCTGCGAGATATAAAGGATATCCCTGTAGAAATTCTGTGCAACGTTCCGCGAGCTTGTTTGCGAATAGGTCTACAATTGGTTTTATCTTGCAAACTCGTGAGTTCTGAAATCAAGAACTCTATCAAAAATTTCCTCGAGTTGAGCGACGTGTGCGTGGATCCCGTGTATATGGTACAGGAGTCGAGACGCTCGGTGGAAATCCCGTTCAAAATGTCGAAAGTGCTTTTCTCCACGGCGCTTCAAACGGCGACTACATGGCTCACTAAGGAGACAACGAAGACCAGATTGACGACCGAAACTACGACTCGACCTAGTCCAACCAAAGACAAGGATTGGAGCGTGTTGAGTACTGAGGAAGTTACGGAGTCTGAAATATCCAGCGAAGAGGTTCCAAGGGAGTACTCGGGAGAATTGAGTACGACAACGACAACCACGCTGAGAACTATGACTGAGCCTATAAAGGTGATCTCGACGACTCATCAAGAAGAGATAACCAGCACGTCAGCTGCTATAACTACTACAATGTTACCTACAACAACCACATCAGCACCGACAATTTCAACATTACTCACAACGACTACAGCGTTGCCTACAACAACATTACGACCTACGACATTGCCTACAACGACTACAACATTACCTACGACTACGACAACGTTGCCTACGACTACAACAACGTTGTCTACAACGACTACAACGTTACCTACGACTACGACGATGGTGTCTACAACAACTACAACGTTACCTACGACTACGACGACGTTGCCTACGACTACAACAACGTTGCCCACAACAACTACAACAACGTCGCCTACAACAACTACAACAACGTTGCCTACAACAACTACAACAACATCGCCTACAACAACTACAACAACGTCACCTACAACAACTACAACAACATCGCCTACAACAACTACAACAACGTCACCTACAACAACTACAACAACGTTGCCTACAACAACTACAACATTATCTACAACTACGACAACTACAATGCCTATTACGACGTTACCCTCAACCACACCGGCACCACCGACAACTACTACGACATCGCCTACAACGACTACGACGATGTCTACGACGACTACACCTATGGTCACTACGGAGCCATCAACCGTCAATATCGAAATGAAACTGAAACGAACAAAAGTTGTGACAAGTATACCGTACGATGATTACGAAATTACAAAACCAATGCAAATGCTATCTCTTACGACATCTGCCCCGACAAGATCCTGCGAGTCCAACGAGTGTACCACTCAGCTAAGTTTAGAGGAAACTAGCCAATATATCGAAACCACGGAATCTCCGACGATGACGGAACCGACGACAACGCAGACTTCCATTCTCGAAACTACTCGAGCAATGACTCCTGAATCGTCAACGACTTGCCAAGACGACGTCACTACTGAGGCACCGATCGCTACAACGACAGAATTGAATGTAACGCCTATCACAAAAGGTAAAACAGCGTTATGTATACAGTTTCACAAAGCTTGTTTCATAATATAAAATAAATGTTGGTCTAAAATATTACTTGGGAAATATTTTCCGTTGCTCACAACGATATATTTTTGGTTGAGAAATATTCTTCCTTACGTTATGCACTTGTTCATTAAATAGGTAAATATTGTAACAAATAAATTTTAGTAAACGCATTAACTGTAAATTGTGCATAAATCAATTTCCATGATTAACATTATAAAACGTGACGCAGGCGACGATTGCGTGAGAGTACCCTGCTCCGAAGACTGCAGATCCAAGAGCGAGAGCGTCGAGACGGGAAGGTCCTGCGAGACGAGCTGCGTGTTGGAGGATTGCGATGGAGAGGACAGCACCACCAAGGACCACTCTCCGGAATGCGATACGGAGATCGAGGGCAGTTGCGGGTGCGCTACCAAGGAGGAAAAGAGCGTCGAATGCATGGGCACGCTATGTCCCTCGGATCTTGCGGAGAACTCGTCCTGCGAGAGGATGCGGAACGACTGCGCGACCTCGACGATGCCGACGGTGAAGCTCAAGCGAAAGCGCATACGCGGCATGTGCGAGATTCGGGATCCTTATCATCACCGGCAGTTGAAACGGCTGGCAAAGATGCGGGCGATCAGCGCCGCGATGTTGCGCGACGTCAGGCCGAGGACGTCGCGGCGCCGAGACCGGATCAGCAAGAAGCTGTACAACCTGTTAGCCACCAGAGTACCCTACTCGGAAAACAGGAACAGGAGGATAGCGCAATTGCTGAAGCAATCTCTCGGCGGCAGCCACGACAAAGTTCGGAAACTTCATCGCAAGCAACGAGAGCAGATGTACAGTGCTTTGCTGAGAGAGCAAATGACGAGGAAAGTAAACCGGGAGACGACGATGCGACATACGGGAGACGCCACGCCATTTCATCAGACCGAAAGGATACCCGAAAGATCGATCAGCGCGTAAAAGGCCGATGCGAGATTGCGGAATTTGTCGATTTAAAATTATGTCTAGCGGATCTAATGTCATTATAGCGGTTACGTTATTACCGGACGATCGGTACCGGACGTGAATCATTATACTGTTCCTCTCATGCAGCGTTTCTACTCTCCGTCCATTTAATCGGGTCAGAGGCGAAAAATATCGAGGAACCTAACGAGGTTCGTTCCTAAGGAGCTAATTATATCAGAGACAAGAGCGTTTGTCGAATTCGGTTAGACACTTACTCGATATCCCAGGGTTTTAAGTTAGTCGTCTATATTTAATCCGAGAACCAAATCGCGAGACTCGTATGCGTTATAAATTATTATTTCTCCGATCTCTTTCTCAATGCTGCCTTTGACGTTGCAGCATCGATCAATTAAAGTCCGCGCGATAATGAGGATTTTTTTTATTGGAGTTTTGAGCGACGAAATTTTTATGGCGGCTAAGACATTTCTAAACATTTTAAATAAATCGTTAGAGATAAATTTTATAAATTCTCAATGGTTGATAAAGGTATATCCTATACCCATTAAAACTTGTATTTTGATATTGTATCGTGATCATTTTTTTTCGCTTAACAGTCTGCTTGTCAGGCTGAAAGAAAAATGAGAAGCAAATTTTTTTACATCAGGGATCAGAAACAGAAATTATGCTGTCTTCGATGGAAGATACATGTATTTGAATACTCTTTGAAGATACTCTCTTCTTTATTAGAGAAGCTTTTTTTTTCTTATAGTAAGCGCTGCATTCGCCGTGCATTCTCGTTTCGTGGCGAAATAGCGACGAGGCCCGGCGTGAATAAACGCCATAAACGGATAAGCGGAGCAAACGATAGAACACAATGAGAAGTAAATTTGACATGGCCGGTGCCCGGCGCGTAATCTGTCTTATTAAACGGTCCCGCTCGCATGTTGAGCGATTACATTTGAATTTACTTTACGCCCGAAATAAGCTCCGTGTCGCGCTATCGGGCCAATTAATTCTCCATCCCCAGGATACGACCTTTACGACCAAGGCGAATCCGCTTCATTTCGCCGATCGTTATTCCGCCGCCACGCGAGAGTGACCTTTTTTTTTTTTCTGCGATCGAAATTGGAGTTTCGCGTGTTTCCTCTAACGCAATCTCGGAGTTGCGGAGATATATGTGCGACGGTCCGACAATGAAATTTAGATACTTTCACCCGTTGGCGAGACGAATCTCCCCCCCCCTCCCCTCCCTCTCCCCCCCCCCCCTCCCGCGAATCGTTTCTCTCAGCATACGCAAATATGTAAATATGTTTCATCCACGCGCGGTTCGCCCGCGCTCGAGATTTTGAAGGCGCGATATTCACAATCGCAAATCGATTCGCGCTCGTAATAGCGCTAAGAAGTGGAGACACAAACAACGTCCTTGAAAAAAAAAAAAAGTGGAATAATTAAATCCAAAGAATATAATTTCGTTCCCGCGGAGAACGAAGCTCTCCTAGGCAGTGAGATGTGAATTCGAGTGAGATTTCGCACGTCAAGTTGTTTTAGAGGAGACCACTCCTCAGTCAGATATCTCAGATGTTCCTCGTCAGAGAAATCACTCGACCGCCCACGTTCCTACAAAATGCGTTTCGATGTGCTTTTCTAACAGCCCTCACTTTTTCATTATTCTTTGCCACGCGACCTTCTAGGTAGCAGGTATCGATCCGTGATTACGTCGCGCGCTCGACATTCTAAGGACCTCGGCCACGGGGAAATGCGACACGTGCGCGCGGAGAAAGAGTCGAGACAAATTGCCGGCATAATCATGGTACACGTGTGCCATGCTTGAAATAACGCTCGCGTTCCGTACAGACAGACCGTGACTCCGTCCGACACCCCGTAGGGATGTGTTTGCGTACACATAACACACGCAAGTGTTGACCTGACACGAGCTGAATCAGACGCAGAAGTCGAATCGAATAGGAAGTCGTAGGTGTGCGAAGAAAACGAAGTTATTTTTCGTCGAGTAGTGTATTTTCTCCTGGGCGAGAGGGTGTAAATTTTAGATGAGCACCGATTATTCGGTTATTTGTTATAAACACGCCGCGAGCAATTTACTAACCGAGTAATAAATAATCGACGCGAGTTTTTCCGAGTTGGAAATCTCTTTCGTTATGCGACACGTCGTTGACACGTTCGCGGTCACGGGCTTCACGTGGTCAGATGTGCCTTTAACCAGTTTAAACTGGTCAATTCTTAAAATACACGGAGACGTGCGACGCGCGAGCGCGGTCTCTTTTTTTTTTTTTCACGGATTTATCTGGCACTCACGTGCTCTTTCGCGTCTACGAACTGTCTTTCGCGAAATTGCCTACACGCTTGTGTTTGCGGCGCTCGTTAAACCACTGGCGGCTGACGCATCGCCGTCTCGATACGCCGTATCGGCTCATGTGACCGGCAATTTGTATCGACGTACAAATTCACGATTTGTGCACAGGCGGTCGGGATATCGTCATCCGCGCGAGATTCCGAAAAAATGCGAACGGATGTGGTTGTCGAGCTCGGAGGCATTCGCGATCACGCGACGAAAATGCGGGAGGATATCCCGCGCGCGTGATATTACCGCAATTACGGAGAACTTAATTCGGACGGAAGCGAATTATCGTTTTTCGCTGACGAAGCGCGCCGCGCGTGCCGAGATGACGATTGCGCGCGTGACCTTCCCCTTTCATCTCGCTCGGGTAAGAAACTACAAGTTTTTCGTCAAAGGGCAGAAGTGCCCGTGCCCCGCGTCATCATCGTTAAAGAACGAGATAGAGGGCGGGGAGGATGGAGGAAAGAGTCCGCAGCGCGTTGGAGGTTTCCACCGATGCCGTTGCTAGGTTGCGGTTGGCATCCCATATATGGGCGAGACAGAGAAAGGAATAAGGTACAGGAGAGCGCGAGAAGGAGAGACGGGGGAGGGGGGCAGAGCGAGAAATTCGAGACAAAGAAAGAGAAAGAGAAAGAGCGAGAGGGACGGTATTCCGTGCGTTTCGGTTAGTCTCGGCGGCCGGTCGCCGCGACGATCGGGCGCGCTCGGTACGGTACGGCGTGGCGACGCGACGCGGCGGCTCGGCGTGTAACGCGCCTCACTTCAGTCCGTTACGGTGCGTCGCGCGGCGCGTTCGGTGGGACGACGTGCGTTTCGTACGTCGAGGGGAAGGCATACGCGCGTGCACACACACACACACACACACGAGGGAGACGCGTCTCTTGTGGCGTCGCTGCGGTGGTGCGGAGGGCGCACACATACGCGTCACAGAAAAACGCGAAGCCTCCCCTTTATCAAACTCGCGCTCCTACGTTCTCGCTCTCCCCGTCTCCCTCTCCCTCTCGCGCGCGAGTCCCCGCGAGCGCTCGGAGCACGCGTCTCTCTGACATGCGGCCGGCGAGCGTCAGGACGAGCCATTGTCCGTGCCGTTTGACACTCGGGGCAACGGCCAGCCGTGCAAGCGACGACTCTTCCCGCAGCCGCATCGAGCGAGCGAGCGAGCTCAACTCACCGGTCTGAACTTACTTGCGGATCGCGACGCGGGAAAGGCGGAGCGCGGGAGGCGGCTGCCTAATCGTGGATATTTTTATTACGGTGAGTATCCACCTTGTCTTTTATTCGCGTCAGCCGGAGGCCTGCGATCCGTTTTTAACCCTTTGCACCCGAGCCATCGGCCGGCTTGCTCTTTTAAATCAAAGAGTTTCGCGCGAATCATTATTGTCATGTTATCGCGATTGTTATTAATCCTTGGCGATTAAATTCGTTATTCGAACATGTCTCTCATTTTGCCGGACAATTATTTTTTTTGTTTAATGTTTAATGTTCTGTAATATTCCTTTGTGTTGCGTGCGGAAGCAGAAAGCATTTTTCTCGGAATTCGCGTAGGTGCGTATGTTTTTACTGCCGGAGAGTAATTTCGGAGCACAAACGTTGCGTGCCGCGGTCATTACTTTTCCCGCTATTGAAACTGTTACGGAGGCGCGAATTTCCTCGTTCACGCCTAAGCTATGCAAATACGGACCGCGATGTCATTAGGCGCAGTATCTAGTTGGCCGGGTTTCCCCCAGCGAGCGGTACCACTTGCATATCCCATAAAGGCCATCGATGGAGGAAACTCTCGTAATACCGAGCTTTCTGTTTAAGAAATTATTCGTATATATACGCGAAACCATGTCGGCGGTTTCGAGGGAATTTGAAATGTTAATTTTCATATTCAAGATATCGTGCGTTCTCGAATATATTGGCATAAGAATAGATAATTTATAACGGATAATCGGATAATTTTCTCGATAATCCGCGTTTCGTTTATACAACAATCCTATTTAGGACCTATTGAGACGATATGTGTCATAGAAATAGATAAGGAGGAGGCCTCCGGACACGGATGGTTGAGATGCGTGCACGCCGTTTTATCAATCTCTTCTACTTCCATTGTATTTCCCCGCTTACATTATATTTCTGTCCGCGCCGGCTTTGCGTAATCCAGGAGTTAACATTCGAAACGCTCGGTTCCATTGCAACGCGCCACAGGCGCTCGGCGCAACGAACCGATCGACGTTTCTCCATGGCCGTTCCTTTTTCTTCGTTTTTTTTCTCCCCCTCGATGACGCGAAATAAAATGCGGCAGGTTCCGTTGGTCGAGCCGGTACCGTTTGGCATCGCGCGGCACGTCGCGTAACGTCGTTCTCGACGGCGGAGATATTTCAAAATAGCGCGTGATCGACACGTGCGCGCGCTAAAAAGATCAGAGATCGGAAATCGATCGTAGCCGCGGGGTATCAAGAGGGAGCAAAGGGGGGGGGGAATTACATTCCGCGAGATTCCCTTCGCGTTTTGACGCGGTGCCGCGGCGAACAACAACATCGTCATCCGTCATCGAAAAATCGGTAGATCGCACGGGATCAAGATTGTAAAAACGGCGATGGCACGACGCGTCAGCGCGTATTTAGAAAGTTCGAATTTTATGTTATAACTTACATAATATATTTCGTTCGGGAATCGTAGTCGACCTTTGCCTCTCGCAACAGCCGCGCACAGCCGCTCGCTTTCGATATCGGTTTCTGCCCCGCGGAATTTTCGCGGTTTTATTTTGGTACCGGATTATGGCCGCGCGACGTGTTTCGGTTATGTATCGCGCGTATCATGAATTTACGCACGTCGCGGTCGCGCGGGTGAACCTGCAAGGAATATATTTTTATACATGCGCAAATGAAAATAACTAATAGCTCTCGTCAATCGCTCTCGCGCGTCTCTCGCGTGAATATCTTTTTCGCAAAATTGTTAATAGCTTGTTTATTTCAAATCTACGTACGGAAAATACGGATGTTTATCTTAATATCAAGAAGTTGACGCACGCGTTTCCCCCGGCGATCCCGAATGATCTCAATGTACATTGTACTTCCTTGTTGCCGCTAGAAAATGGTCGTTAAATTTTTTTTTTCTTTTTTTAAAGATCCATGATATATTGCTTCCAGTAATATTAGCACGGATCGTGAGCTTTATATCCATTTCCTCGATCTATTTATGATTATCGTATATCGCATTTATGTATATATCGTATATTTCTGCTGAAAGTAATTAATTCGCTCGCGGGTCTAGTATCTACTTGCCAGAGCGTCGCGTGTATTAATCGACTTCTACAAATTGATGACTAGCGGATATGCGGATTGCGGTATTTTCTACAAGTCAAATGAGGTTTAACGACTCCGCCGCGACATGTGTACGACGTTTACTCTTAAGGAAGGTGCGCGATGATTCACACGGTGTGCTTTACATGGTGTTCGTTGTTGCAGCTGACCGACTGATGTCATCTTGTTAACGATGCGCGATCTTTCAAGTGGTAAAAAAACACGGTAATGCCGTTACTCTCGATCGAGTGGGAACAATTCCGCGCTTCTCCCTCGTTTCGTCGCGTCACGTGCAAGACGGGACGGATGGAAATCTGCTCGCAAATTTGCTTTACCGACAACGATAAGCGGCGATCGGTCGTCAATAATTGTAGGCGTGTAAAAGAAGGCGCGGGTCTCATTCGGAATTCCACCTCCGCCGGCCGATTGACGTCAAGAGAGCCCCTAAAATATTTCCAGTACGTCGGACATGATCGAAAGTGACTGGCAGGTACGCTGCTCGATACCGAGCGAAATTAGGCGGTTGCGAATCGCGATACCTCCGTTATTTTCGTTACCGAGATGATCTTTTGATAGAGCGTCGATCTCTGTACACTTGCGAAAATTGCGACCCTGCGATTTCGTTTCGTTTCGTTTATCGACGTCGCGCCGTGCGCTTGCGCGAAACGAAATATTCATACAAAGAAACGTAAATAAAAGTTTCAAGATCGATAAACAATTAGAAAAACTATTCGCTTCGGAGATCCGTGATATCAAGGATCTTAATAGAGAGCCAGTCCGCGGAACGAGGAATCAAGGCTCCTCGTAGCCAAGGATCCCAGGAACGAATACGCGAATCCTGTCCTCTTCGTTTTCCAACGCAGCAACGAAAATAGAAACCTGATAAATTTGCTGTTATGTCGTATATATAATTATCACAAGTAAGAAAGTCGAGAGCTCCCGCAGTGAAAGTAACGTGCAGCTCTAATAGATTACTCCGTAACGCGTACACGCGAGGCATTGCGACGCATTTTACTTAGAGGCACTTCGTTCTTTCCAAACACCTCGATGTATCTAGCTACAATCGCGTGGTATGAAAATTTCTCTACCGCGTGTGAGCGCTTTAACACCGAGCGGCGTTAATCTAGTTCCCCAGATTTGCGGAATTAATTACTCCGCTATCAAGCCGCCGAGCGCATTAATTACCATTCGGACGTTTGATACGCCGATTACGTACGGCTTATCTACGATTTCCATTAGGAAGACGAGAGGAAGCCTGGAAAAGTACCGTTACAACATTTCCTCGCGATTATCTCGCAAAAAAAAAAGAAAAGAAAAGAAAACGCGTTGGCGCGATCCCCCGCCGGCCGATGCCTGAGTTAGTGTTAATGCTTGATAAGAATCTGACCCGGTCAACAGTGATTCTCATTCGCCTTAACCCAGTTCGCACCCCAGGTCTGATGGGCGCAGACCGATCTGTGCCATGATTACGAACGCAAATCGTGCTGGTAACGATAACGATAACCGGCGCAATGCCAAACGCCGGCGTGTCACTGTTGCCGCAACGTTAAACGGAATCGCGCTCGCCCTTTCACCGGAATCGTGCCGGAATCATCTTGGCATTGTTCGACGGCGATTTAAGAATCTACGTCGGATTAACCACGATTTCCGAACGTGCTCGTTTCTGTTGTTGAATTCATTTAGATACATTAACGGCATTCCAATTAAGCGCATCGCATTAACATATCTCATAACGAGCGTATTTTAAAATACGTCGCTAAAAATAGCGCGCTCGCGCGACTCGTCACGATTAATCCGAATCGTTTGTTATTCCGAAGAGAAATTCGCGCGAATCGCATGTATCGACGATAATGACATTACACGTCGTCTCTCCGCCTCTGTTGTAATTTCTAGTTAAACACGCAATCATCATAGAAAGAAATGACAATGCGCGGTCGAAAGGCCGCGTTAGACGAGGGCTGTTGTTGTCGAGTGACGATAAGCGGCGCAATTTTTCCAACGATACCGTCAATATAGTCATTATGAACGATTCAAGCTGGATTAAGGAACTTTCCTTCGGACGGCACGAGACGAGGCACGATTCCGATAACGTAATCGCCGCGAGGAAGAGAGAAGGAGGTATAACGACCGAATCGCGCGATGTGACAAAGTCCGGGAATAACGACGAATTCGTTTGGAATTCAATGAATATGTACGAATACATTGTACGAAATTAGTCGCCGACTTTTTTTTTTTTTCGATTTCTCCGAGTACGTATTTAACACGCCGCCGTCGGCGTGTGGCGTAAAGTTCCCGGTAAAGTTGCTCCTTTGTAACGCGCCGAATTCCTCGAATTGTTACGCTTCCATTCGTATCTCTCGGCCTTTATCAACGTCCGTCGAGGTGGAGTTACATGAGTTACATGCGAGTTACATGAGCGGGGCGGGGCGATACCGAAAACATGGAATGCGTAGCGCGAAGCGCAAACGCGATGACGCGTGTCTGTAAATTCAGCAACGCCCAGGTGGTATTCGCGATGAAAATTACGAATCCCGAGATAAATTCCCGCGGCAGTTCGCTGAACTATTTGTTTTTTCTTGCCTTGTTTAACGAGCGACGGGCGCGGCGATAGACAACGGCGCTACATCATTGTGTCAAGATACATCGCAATATCCATCGTCGTGGTAACGAGGAATCCGTAATCTAAATACGCGCGCAGCCGACTTGGATAAAGAATTTATTTATGGGGAGAGGTATATTAATCGAATGTTCATCCGCCTATTAAGCTCCGCCGAACTAATTATAGCTGCTAGGTGATTAATGCGACTGTTGGCCGCATTTGTCGACTGTTTGACCGGTGTTATAAATTAAATCATTCGAGATACGGCCGAGATGGGAGTGTCGCACGCTAGAGCGTTTTTGGAGCGAAATCACGGCAGGTAGTCGGGATTAACATTCGAATGCGTTTCCTCGTAACTTGTCGGACAT